ATAAAAACCATGACACTTAAAAAAATAATCTATAGCTCCATTTTTTGTTAATAACATATACAAAATTTACAAATTGTCTCAAGGAAATAAGTGAAAATGAACATGCTGGAGAGCAGACGCCATCAGTTGACTGCCATGCAGCTGGTTTCAGTTAACACTGAGTGAGAGCTCGCTTTGCCAAACCTCGAATATCTAAGAATAAAGTTGGGCAATTTTCCTAACTTTGTGCAATTGCATGTTTGTGTGGGTGTGAGCGTGTGTGTTTTTGCACGCGTGTGTATTAGTCAGCGGTTACCATTTCAGGACAGAGCAAGGTTACTCAGCGGCCTTTCTCCTGCGCATGAAAATACAACTACAGTAACCTTAATGTGAAAAAGTTCCAAAGCTTCATCATTTCTGTCTCCTCTACCTCCTGTTTCTCCTCGTCACACCGAGCCTTTGCAGTCACAGTCCCCTTCACCCTTGTCAGTTCTTGAAATCCTCCCCGCGGCCGCCGCCTGCGCTGTGCCAGCTCGCCCCTCGTGGGCCCTCTCCCGTCCTCACTCCGAGACGCGTGTTTGCCATTCCTGCGGCGGCTCCTTAGGCCAGCCCGACGACGACCCCAGCCCGCTCCCCTGGTCCTACTGAAGCGTGGTTCAAACCTCCTGCTTTTAGGAAGGCGGCACACTCGCGTCTTCACGACGACACGTCCGCTGTTCCCAACCTCCGATCTCTCTCCATGCCTGCCGCTTTCGGAGCCATTTACTACATTGTACATCGTTACCCACTACGTGGTATTTCTGTAAACGCGCTCCAGGCTCCAGCTGTACTTTACTATTAAGAGAGCTGGAACATAAGCGGTGTGACTGTTTAAATAAAAGGACATTCTTCAAATGTGAACTTTTCTTTCTCCTTAGCGTACCAATGCAAGCTGTGACAGTTTGGGGGTACTGCCTGGGTAGCGAATGGGGGAATTTTTTTTCCCTATTTTGTGCATGTCAGTGGCCAGACCTGTACGCGGAGCTTCTCCATTCCCTTCCCTCCAGTAACACGCCGGGTGAATGCCTCACAAGAGATGCTTGCCCCTGAGCACCTGGGAGGTGCTGAACTCTCATGGGTGCCTCTCATCTCGTTCACCCTAAAGGAAAGCAGCCAGCCACGGCAACTATCTCTATTTTGGTTCTTCTATGGTCCGCATCAGATCTATCCCGAAAGACTGAAGGACTGATAATTCACCACAGGTCTGTGAAGAAGCCATGCAGGAAAGGCTTTCATTAATACTGGCGCTGGTTTATACGACTTCAACCGATAAAGACAAAACATATTCAATAAGAACTGACATCCTCCTAGAAGATTACAGCAATGAGATCGTCTCAGAACAGGTTCATAATACTATTAGTAAAATTCAGAGGCTGTTCATTCTACAGTCATTAACACAAATACAGACAACAGGAAAAACTCATTCAGATCCCAATCTGCTCTTTCAACCTCTTTTTTCTTAGTTATACCTTGGACGTGGAAAAGCAGCAGGACAGAAGGCATACATTTTTCTGGAAGCACTGCTTCTGAAGCCAGCTCGTCTGATGGCACCACATCCCTTCACTGCACGACGTTATTAACGAGTTGGCATTACTGACTCACAAATGTGCCTGGTCACACGATGGTGATGCCCATCCTTGCCAGGCCATGTAACAGACCTACCTTACATTTTGGTCCCTTTTAGCCATGTTCTGGAGAGGGGTTACTCCTGTGATCTTTGAACGCAATCACACAAATCAATCTAATCTGCACCTACTAAAAACTTAGACAACCCTGGCCTTAATATTCAAATGTATCATTGTCTGGCTTATTCTTAAAATACCGGTGATTTGAAAGAGCTAACCCTCATCGAAACAGTCTGCAAAATGATTGGGCTGGAGGCAACTATAGTAATAAAACTAGAACAAAACAAGTGCCCAGCTCACTACTGAGTGAGCTGAAGCAAGTATTTTAAGTTTTGCTGACTGAAGGTTGCAAAGAGGGAAAATATTCAATATAAATTTCCCTTAAAGCAGGGAGGATATTACTTGTTGCAATGCGATCTCTGTACTTTAAACAACCCAGACAGAATTACATTCTAGGCAGTCCTCCCTGTGGCTGGACTAAGACACAAAGTCACCCAGTATCTTCACGCTTCTGCCAGGGAAGCAAAGCCTGCACCTTGGTCCTTCAGGTCATTCCTTTGATACAAGCATCTCTCAACTGACCCTACTAACACAGGTGAAGAGGACATTTCACTCTTTTGCATACATGAAAGCTCATGAAATTTTTCTCACATCCACATAAGCAAAATTCATCTGAGCAGTTTGCTCAGAAATTCTAGATTAAATTCTATGTACTACATCATTGAACTTACTTGTTTAAATAACAGCAATTATTAACGTGTCATGAGTAAATGACCACACTGGAACATTTGTAGCATCACATGAGCCCTCGCAAACAGCACCGAAACACTTACTGAAAAAAAATTACCCACTTATGTAAATCACTCTTTTCCTGAACATTCCTAATGAGATCTTGGACGTTAGCCTCCTGTTAGGAATGAAAGAGCATTTGCTTGCAGACCCTCTTTCTTTTGCCTTGCTGAGTACCAAAGATCTTTCAGGGGTATATTTTCCTGGCATGCAGCATTGCTTGTGCCAGCTGAATGAACAACAGCTCTGATCTGAATACTTGTGTTTTGAACTATGTATCTGGGACATGATATGAAGAACTAGGATTCTGGCCTGTGAGTGAACTTCAGGGATTTAAGCGTGGAGCTGTGTTTGACAAGGGCACAATACATTCACCAGAAAGAAGGCCATCAAGGCAAGTGATTCCACATGACAAATACAAATTATATGATGCCAGCTTACATTTCAAGTGTACCAGAGGTCTGTAAGTTGAGATATACTTGGATATTCTGTGTGTTTGGCACTGAGCCTAGCACTAATTTAAAAGCAAACAGA